CCTAAATGACACTCCTCATCGTTCTGGGTGAGCAAGTGCTGACTTCCTGACTCAGAGAGGCCCACATAGAGAAGGACCCCAGCTCCACCTTGCCAGCCTTGTGGGTGTACCGCCTGGGAAGTGGGTCCTCCAGCCCCAGCTGTGCTGTCTCAGCAGATGCCTCCAGGGGCAGAGAGGAGCTCTTCCCACTGAGCCCCGCCCAGATTGCAGATGCGTAAGCTCAGTAAATGTTGTCTTCAGCCACCACCCCTTGGAGTGATGTGTCAGGCAGCAGTAGATAATTGGGGCGTAGGCTTCCATGCACACTTTTTATTCCAAACCAAAAATCTCCTTGCACCGGGTAAGCATTTGGAATAGGTGAATGGCCATTTCAGTGCGGCATGCACTGATTATGCACCTTATGGGTAGACCTATGGAAGCAAAGAGCCAGGAGGCAAGGCTCAATGAGATAATGAGCTCACAGCCACATACATGAGCTCTGCCTCTGCCACTTTCCAGCAAGGGAGAACTTAGACAATATGCATCACTGCCCTGAACTTCAGTTCCTTCATCTGTAAGATGGAGACCAAAGTGCCTACTAAGTTAGGGCCCTTTGGAATACAGAGAAAGTGTACACTAGCTGAATAAAATAAAAGGAACTCATTGATTCACATAACTGAAAGGTTTGGAAGAGAACTCCAGGATAGAGGAATAGGAATCGCTTGGCCGAAACAATGTCATATTCTCTCTCTCTCTCTCTCTCTCTCTCCTTTTCCAGCCTTTCCATCCCTGGGTTCAGTTTTCTCTCCATTCTTGGGCGAGATCTGAAGAAGGGTTCCCAGCAACTGCACACAGTGCATATCTTACCAGTTTAACGATCATCACCAATAGTGCCTCTTTCCCTATGATTGCAGCAAAACTCCCAGGGCTAACACTCACTGGTCAGCTAGGCTTACTTGTAAATTACTTTCTCTCTGATTGGTCAAACCTGAGATGCATCAGGGACAGGGGTCAGCTTGATCTTGGATGGCCATCCGCGGAGGGCTAGTGTCCCAGGGAAAACTCAGGTGATTGTCAGGAGGTGTTATCAGAGGAAAGCGGCCAGGTGTCACGCAGGCATACACAGCACTTGCCCCCACGAGACCCAAAAGAGACACCCGAACACATGTGAGCAGTGATGTCAACATTGATGTCGGTCCAGTGGTGCTTCTTGCTTCCTAGAAGCTCTTGATTCATGCTTTCTGGAAGGAGAGACTGAGTATGTTTCAGCAAAGGAGGAGAAAATGTTACTCTTGGGCTCCCAGGCAGCCATGATTCATTGGTTTTCATCTGACTCAGAATATAGTGTAATTATGCTGGGCAGGTGATGAATATCACAAAAGCACCGCTGGGTCTTAACATCCTTATGAAAAAGAGGTTTCTACTACAAAGCGTCCCCCTGAGCTCTTCAGATCAGGGAAACCGGTTTATAAATCCATAAAATCAATAAAAGCATGTGCCCAAAATTCTACTATAAAAAATCCATGGAGAACAAAAGAAATTGCTGTGAACAAAATGCACATAGAAACTTGCATGTATTTTCAAGATTTCTGTCCAATCAGGGTTTCTCCTATTTCCTCTTTTTTTCAACTGCAATAGAATTTCTTTATGGACAGTGTCTGTACCATTTGGGGATCTTAAAGTACTTTGGAGAGCATGCGGGTGCATTTAAGAATGGATTTGAATTTCTATCATGTAAGAATAAAGCCCTATTTGGCAAGAGTGATGCCAAGAAACCCGAGCGGTCTCACAGAACAGCGAGCTCTGCACTTTGATCACACACTCAGTTCAGTAAAAAGCTTTTGGCATGCCCTTGAACTCAAGTGTATTTACAAATAAATCATACCTTTGTATTAGGTATGACACTGTGTGCTCTATGAAATGTGCAAAGTAGACACTATAACCGGTGAGAGGAAATAAAGATAGAAATCCCTATCTTTTCTTCCTCCACCTTGAAGGACAGTCTGGAATTGGCTCATGGGCTGGGAGGCTTAGCAAGTCCAAAATCCGATGGGGCAGGGTAAGGGGTGTCAGCAGGCTGGAAACTTGGGGAGACCTGCAGAGCCCAAAGGCAGAGTGCTGTCAGAACTCCCTCCTGCTCAGGGGAAGTCAGTCTTTGTTCCATTCTGGCCTTCAACTGATTTGGTGAGGCCCACCCACACAGGGAGGATAATCTACTTTATTGACAGTACACTGAGTTAAGCGTTAATCACGTCCAAAAAACACCTACATTGAAACATCCAGAATAATGTTCAACCAAACACCTTGTCACTGTGGCTCAGCCAAATTGACACAAAATTAACCATCATGACTCCACGTGAGAAATTTTCAGTTCAGGCAGATAATTACAGATCATAGGGAGCTCCCTGACTGTGTTTCATGTGCAAAGGTGATACCTAGGAATTAGAAGGTGTTGGGCTCAATAAACATGAGGCTCTTTGGCTCGAAATACAAGGAGAGTGGGCAAGAATGGAACATGGTACACTCTGTCAAGAGAGTAAGTTAGCACATGTATCATCCATTCCAATACATTTATCCATTGACCCATAGATGTCAGACCTGGGAATTCCATTCAGTGATGCTCAGTGCAGTGCTATTTATGAGACAAAAAAAAAAAAATAGACTATCTGTAAGGGGAGTGATTTGATAAATTATGGTATATCTTATAATGAAATATTCTATAGTTCAAAAACAGAGCAAAAAACGCTGATGTAGAGGCACTTGGGTGGCTCAGTTGGTTAAGCATCTGCCTTTGGCTCAGGTCATGATCCTGGGGTCCTGGGATCGAGCCCCCTAGGCCGGCTCCTTGCTCAGCGGAGAGCCTGCTTCTCCCTCTCCCTCTGCGTGCCGCTCCCCCTGCTAGTGTTTTCTCTCTCTCTCTAATAAATAAATAAAATCTTTAAAAAAAAAAAAAGCACCGGGGCGCCTGGGTGGCTGGCTCAGTCATTAAGCATCTGCCTTCAGCTCAGGTCATGATCCCAGGGTCCTGGGATCAAGCCCCGCATCAGGCTCCCTGCTTCTCCCTCTCCTACTCCCCCTGCTTGTGTTCCCTCTCTCACTGTCTCTCTGTCAAATAAATAAATAAAATCTTTAAAGAAATAAAAAAATTTTAAAAACACCGGTGCAAAAACTTATTCATGATAATTATCAAGTGACACTATACATTTATAGATATATACCCTTTATATAGGATGTGATTAGCTCCTGTATTAAAAATAGTGAGATATATGTAGGATTTTTTTGTCACGGATATTTCCAGAAAGAGCCACAAGAAACTGCTATCAGCAGTTCACTCTGAGAAAGACAGAGACTCACTTTTTCACCTTGGACCTGCTTCAAATATTTTCCACCACATGCATATAAAGGGCTTTTGTATGTCTCTCAATGGCAGAAATTTCAGTTTGTGCTGTAATAGTGATTGAAATGATGTTTGGGTCCGCTGTGTGGCACGTGCAGGACCGCCGGGGCCCGCAACATCCTCTCAGTAAAGCAGAGCCCTGCCGTGCGGCTGCAGGGGAACAGGGAGACCCCAGAACCAGGGGGACGGCCAGCGGGGCAGTCTACCTCCAGTAGGCAGAGAAGATGGCAGAGCAGCTGAGGACAGCCAAGGACATGCCGCTGAGAGCGCGGGGGCCTGTGGGGTGCCGCGGACGGGCTCACCGATGCCGGGAAGCCGCGTTCAGCCAGGGCTCAGCCAGGGCTTGGAGCGCTGAGCTCAGCGCGCGGTGATAGAAATGCCTGTATCCTAAGTGCTTCGCGGGCATCAACGTGTGGAACCCTGACGACATCACAACAGAGCAAGTGCTGCTATCCCCTACCTTACAGATGAGGAGACTGAGCCAGAAGTCAATGAATGAATGAGCGAATGAATGAGTGCATGAAGCCACCCGAGGGTGGGCACCTGTCTAACATGACCCCGTGGAAGAAACGCACATAGACTTTGGAGCTGGTTTTTGATGCTTGCAAGCAAGGCGGTCAAACTCACGAGCCATCAGAGAACTGGCTTCGTCTGCAGAGCGGTCTGAGCGTGGGACCCCCAGGGTCCTCGGGAGCCCACACACGGACCCAAGGTTCACAGCCCCTGTTCTGGGGGGCAGGGGGCTTTCCAGATCTAAGATTCCAGGATTCTATGATAAGTCATGACGTCCCTGACCCTTTGACGATTATAAGCTTAAACCTCCCCCCAACACACACAGAAATTAAAATCATTCCGTACAAACCCTCAAGTGTCCATTTCAAGGCAAAAGTGTCTGGAGGAGTAAACTACAGTTTAGTGCAGAGTAGGGTGTTTTTGTTATCTGGCATCTGAGAACATTACCGGTTGTTCGGTCAGGCTGACCACCAGATTCTCTGTCCCCGTGTGGACACTTTGTGCATGAAAGGGGCACCATCCATATTTATGCTGAGACAAGTGCGCCAGCCAGGACATCTTACTGCAGGCAGAACGAATCTGGATCAGATCATGTCCATTTGTGGCAAGCGGGCACCGGCTGCTTTTCCAGGAGCCCTGGGCAGAAAGGGGTCACCTGCTCGCCTGCCCCTCTGTCCCAGCAGCGCTTTGGCTGACTCCTGTCCCTGCACTTTTGAACCTGCTCTTCGTTCCCTATGCATACACACAGTGTGGCCTGGTGCCGGGCCGGCCTTGGGTGGCCTGAGGCGGAAGAGCCTAGGGGTCAACACCCAAGAACAGGCACTTTTCTCTCTTCTATTTGCTTCTCACCTTCTTTCCAGTACTGGCACTGGGCTCTCCATAATGTTCTCCTAACCCCCTAGGCACGCTCTGCTGTTTACCAGATCAAAGCTCAGTGAGCCCAGGGGCTGGCCACAGCGAAGGCCACTTGTCCCAGAGCACCCACCCCTAAGCCACACTGAACATCATCCAGAATGCTGGGGCAGGCATGGGTTGAAATTTAACCATCCAGATCAGGGGGTTGGGTGAGTTTCTACAAAAAGAGGTAGGCCAACCCCATCTCATGGTCGTCCCAATCAAAGCGAGAGCAGATAGTAGGAAAATCACCCTCTTTTTATTGGGGTCCACGGGGAACAGACCCAAGATGTTAAGGACCCTGGTGTTGGGCAGGAGCCTTCGGAAGTCCTCTGGTTTCTCCGTCTTGGTCAAGCAGATGTGGGGGGCTCTCCGCAGTCATCTGCGAAGGCCGGAGCGATGGTGCTCGCAGGGTCCCTGTGCACAAAGAAATCGGAATGACACTTGTAAGTAGATCCTCGAATTTCCCCAGATGCAGTCTGACATTTGGCTAATTCTGTAGCGTGTTCCAAAATGGGAGGAAGTCAGACCAGACTGCTTGGGTTCAGGTTCCCACTCTGTCTCTTTTCCTCTGGGTGACCTTGGGCGATTCCCTTAATCTCAGCTCCATGGGGCCATCAGGAGGGTGAGATCCTCAGAAGAAGACTCGTAGCAAGTGCTCCCCAAGATGAGCTGTTATTAGGAACATCCAGCCCTGCTCCAAAACCCGTCTGGCAGAGAATGTTTTCAGCAAACCTGCCACAAACAGATCATGCAACCAGCTCTGTCCAAAGACTGCCCCCGGTCCGCCGCACCCCAGAGGTGCCCGTCCTTAACGCCCTGTGAACTTGGACTCATGCCTCTCTCTTTCTGGGTCTCAGATTTCCCCTCTGTCAAAAAAAAAAAAAAAAAAAAGGCTGGCAGTAAGGTCACTTCTGAAGATCACTTTTCTGAAGTATCTGCACTTTCCAGGTTTGGACAGTTGAAAGAGCGTGGGCTTCACAACCAGCGGCTCCTGAGTGTGGGCACTCGGGACAAGTGACTCACGTCAGAGGTGAGAGCGGGGCCAGCCGCTTCGCTGAGCCCCAGTCTCCACACCTGTAAGAGGGGAGGACTACGTGTCACACGGGGTCACATAAAGATGGAACGACAGGCGTAGAAAGCCTGCCACAGCCCAGGCTCTCGGTGAACATTACGGACCCTTACTCAGAGCAGGTCCCAGACTGACAGCAGCATCCCCCGCTGGGAGCTTGCTAGGAATGCAAAACCTGTGCCCACCCTAGACCCACCTGTAAATTTCCAAACCATACTCAAAGGTCCTCCCACCTGCGCCTCCTCCAACCCCAATTCCTGGAGGTCACTGCTATGTCTACTTGAGAGCTCAGCCTTCTGGCGCTTTCCTCCATGCTCATAGAATGTGTCTACACATTCACAAGACTTCTCAAAAAAATAAAAAGTGACCCCACTGTGCATATTGGTCGGCACCGTGGCTTTCTCTAGTGTCCACTGGAGACATCTTCACGATTGTCCCTTGGCACCTGTCCCCACTTTCATACTTGGTACGACTGTGAAGAGCATCAGACCACCCAGACTGGAATCCTGGCTGTGTGCCCCTGGGTAAGTCTCTTAACCTCTCTGAGCCCCAGTTGCCTCGCCTGTAAGAGGTGGGTAATCGCAGTACTTCCCTTACAGAGCTGTTGGAAGCAGAAATGAGGTCAGGAATGGAAAGGCTCAGAACCGCGCCGGGCACCTTGCAGACACTTGCCAAGTGCTATGTCGCGTGGATGTCCCTGTATTTAACCATTACCCTGTTGGGGGACATTAGATGGTACCCAGTTTTTAACTATTACCAACCACATTCTCACACATCTGCACACACGTGTGTAGGACCAAGCGACATTTTGTGCCGAGCGCCTAAATCTACTCACACCCTGGTCTCCCGGCTGCGTTCAGGAAAACCGAGGGCTCGGCGGTTACTTCCAAGTTCCACAACGCACAGAATATATTCTGCCAAACCGGGGAGACTGGGGCTTCCTGAGACATTTATGCCTCCAGTCTAGTGTTTTGTGTATTGGTATTTGGCAGCACATTTCCCTTGGGGAAAAAAAGAAAGTTTGTTCCTAAACACAGTGGGCCCCCTTCTCCGCAGGGGATCTGCTCCGGGACCCCCAGGAGGCGCAGGACTTTATAGGACTGTTCTCTCCTATACACACACATCTGCAGCAAGTTTAATATACTAACTAGGCATAGTACGAGATAAACAACACAACCTATAACAAAATAGAACAACTCTAACGTAAACTTGTAGTAAAGTTGTGGAACGGTGGCCTCTCTCTCAAAACAGCCGAATCTACCGCACTCACCTTCTGGCAAGGACATGAGATGATAAAATGCCCTCATGGCGAGAGGAAGCAGGGCGAATGACGTAGGCACCGTGACCTAGCGTTAGGCTCTCAGGGACCCAACAAGGACCCAACCCTGCGGCAGAAGGAGGGTCCTCCACTTCGGGTCCGTGGCGGACCGCTGGAGGGTCAACAAACCGGCAGACAGTGACACTGCGGGTGAGGGGGGGCCTTCTTTCTGACTGAAAATCACTGGTGGCTTGGCCTAGCGAGAAAAGACAGCACTACAGAAGGTTCCGGAATCATTCCAGACAGGCGTTCTCCAGCCCTGCTTCCGTGCGGGCGCCTCTTCCTAAGCCTGGGATTGGCGGCATCCACACTGGCAGCTGACACCCGGCCACGGCGGGAGCCTTTCGGCCACGGGTAGGGCAGACGCCGCGCGTGAGGGCGTCCCACTCTTCGGGAGAGCTGCTTCCCGCCGCGCGGTGTGTGCCCGACGTTCCCGCGGGCGTTTCTGGCTCCTGCGTCTGCCAGGAGGCTTCGCTCTGTCCACATCTGTCCCACGCGGCCCCCGTCCTTCCCTGCCTGGGGGCCGGCGCGTGACCCACAGGAGGAGCGCCATGAATACTGGTTGAGATGGAAAGGGGATAACATTTTACTTTTATTACTTCCCGGCAGAGACCAGCGTCGGTTAAGGCAAGACCGACCTTGGGCACAGCAGCGTGGCCCTGGGGGGTACACGGCCGCGGCGAGCAAGCACGGAGGCCTCCTCAGGTCCAGCCGCCTCGCGCCGGCACTTGCAGGGACGAGCCGCGCCCTTTTACTTGGGGGCAGAGACTATGTTCCACGGGGTTGGCGGCCCCTTCGCGCTGCTCCACAAATGTAACCTAAAAATACGCCCTCCTCCCCACCATGCACCTCTGTGTCAGGCGAGTTCAGCCTCTGGTGGGACAAGGACCACCTCCGCGACATCCAGCCACTGGCGAGTTCCGCGTGCAGCCCCGCTCCGTGCCGGCCTCCCCGACGGAGGGATGGGGACGGGGGTGGTTCAGGAGGCTGCTCCGTGTGTTAAAGGTCACTTCGCATCAGATGCAGTTATGACCTGTGCCAGCTCAGGGGGGCTTTGGGGAGAGAGCCGACCATGGAAGGCCCCAGGCTGCTGGTACAACAGCGAATTAGAGCGGGAGGAAGCTGGGACAAAAGTCCGGGCAGTTACGCTGGCCCCCGAGGCCGTAGTCACCCATCCGTCCACGGTGAGAAGGCCGGCGACAGCTCAGAGCATCGTAAGGCATTGTTTCCAGGCCCTGAAGGCGGCCTGCAGGACAGGTGGCCACATCTCTCCCTAATGGGCGGGCACGGACTTCCTGCGACCACACTGTGACCATGACCACAGATCGAAACCTGATGGATGCAGCGCCGGAGTGTCGGTGCTGGCGGATGGTCCCAGAGAGGAGACGGAGCGAGGGCCCCGCACACGCGGGCAGACCTGCTGGGCAGCCTGGTGGCCCCCGGGCTCCATGTTGGGCCAGTTCCCCGAGGGCTGTCTCCTCTGGGGGCTCATCTGTGAGGGTCTCTGCCTCCCCCCGAGGCACTAATAACTCCGACGTCTCAGCGAAGGCCTCCTCTTCCCTCTCTTCGCCCCAGTGCACCCCCTCTGGAAGGGCCCGGCCTCCGCGCGGCGGGGCACCCAACAGTCGCCCATCAACATCCGCTGGAGGGACAGCGTCTACGACCCGCAGCTGAAGCCTCTCAGGGTTTCCTACGCCGCGGCCAGCTGCCTGCACGTCTGGAACACCGGGTACTTCTTCCAGGTGGAATTCGACGACTCGGCCGAGGGATCAGGTGAGCCCGGGCCGGGTTCGGGAGGGCTTTCTCTTCTCCCGTCACGGCCTGAAAGCGGGGCCACGCTGGGCAGGGAAGGGGCCCAGGACTTTGCTTACGCGTGGTGTTTGGGGGGCAAGGAACAGAGGCGTCTCAGTATTGCAGGGTGGGGAGGTGGTGCTCATCTTCAGGATTATAACGCCCACCCTGACATGCGCACAGCTTCACTGGACATTCCAGGGGCTGGTCAGGAAGAAACGAGAGGCCCATAGCAATGTATGTATATGGTGCATCACAGAGAAGAGCGGAGCAGGTGGGGGGAGAGAGGGGAGGTGGCGGTGCGGCCTGAAGGCAGAGGAAGAAGGAAATTGTGCTGATGATGGGGCAGGGCATCCAGAGCCTGGTACCTTTGCTGGTTCTTGCCCCACAGAAGCCCAGCTGCTGGGAAGGGAGGAGGGGAGGAGCACAGGGTACAGCAGGGGAGGGCTGGAGCGGGCAGGTGGCGAGGCCTTGAGGTGGCCCTGGAGCCTCCATCTCTGACTGGGTCTCAGCACCTTGCCAAGGGCTTCATGTGGACCCTGCCCTCAGAGACTCACTGGGACTCTCCCCAGGTTTGGGATGGAGGCTCCATCAGGTCTGGAAAGGCATTCACATCCGGGCTGCTGCTGGATTCCGTCTGGTGTTTCTTCAGCACCTGTTGGTATCCCCCGAGCTCTGTTTATGCCGAGCCTCTGTCTTCCTTCCGGGAGTGGGGATCACTGTCCACAACGGCAGAGGGTGCCTCTGTGACCAGCCCCCGACGAAAACCTTAGGCACCAAGGGTCTTCTGGGCATCCCTGGGGGACATCACTTCACGTGTGTCATCACAACTTGTTGCCGGGGGAGAGGGATGCTCCGCGTGTCCCATGTGACTCCACAGAGCGGGCTCTGGAGGCTGGCACCTGGTGTCCTCGGGCCAGCGCTGTCTGCCCCATTTCTCTTGGCGGATTCGCTTGTGTCGTTTCACAGTGATAATCTTAGCCACGCGTACGGCTGTGTGCAGAGTGTTGGGAGTCCTCCCAGGGAGTCTTCGAACCTGGGGATCCCTGACCCAGCCCCCAGTCCCAGGTCCTTTCTGGGCTGGCCCTCAGCCCATTCCTTCTGCAAGCCCAGTTATCGGACTCTTGCACCCACTGCCCCGTGAGGATGCAAGCCCCACGAGGGCAGGATGACTGCTTCCTACGGAGCATCGTGGGCGCTCAGTCGAATGATGGACGAACAATGAATGGAAAGTTAGAGGAGCAAATGAGCCTCCATTTCTTCCCCCAGGGGATGGAGAACAGGGCGCCCACCTCAACGGCCAGCGGGGGGAAGTGAGACCACCGTGGGGAAGCGCTCAGCCTCGCACAAGATGGGCTATGGTCACCCGCTCTAGCTGCTTCCTACGTGGTCAGCGGCAGGACAGTGAAGTGGGGACTTGCCTTCAGGCAGATGCGGAGTCTCCGAACACAGGCCCCAGGACCGTCAGTCTGCTTCCACTGTCCGGGGAAGGTCCGCCCCGCCCTGTGTCCCGCCTTTGTCACAAGCCCTGGGCTTGGACTCCCACCCATCAAAGTGTCCTTAAGATTCTGGGTCACCCCGCCTGGGAGACACCTGAGCTGGTACAGCGCCCACTCCGGGCACCCTGAACCAGGTGCAGGCCACGGGCCAGCCTTCCCGGGGGAGGGGCCGAGTGGTAAGCAGACGCCCAGCCGCAACGGCCCTCCTCTGATGGACCGGCCGGCAGTGGGGCGCCGGCTTCTCCCTGGGCCAGACCCTGCGAGGCGCTTCTCAGACAGCGGGGCTCACCTTTCCAGGTGACTCTCTCCCCATCCCACAGGTAAGTAGGAGGCTGCCTTCCCTGAGTAGCTGCCTGTGTGCCCAGAGCTGCTCACAGTGACCCTTAGCAATGCTTCTCACAGCACAGGGCTCGCTGAGCGCCAGGGACCAGAAGGCCAACTCTGGCCGACATTCGCACAGACGAACTTCCTGGAAGGATGAACCAGGCTAAAAACAGAGAGGAGGGCGAGCTGCATGCCCAGATCCTGGAAAGCACGGGAGCCAGCCCGGGGCAGGGATGCACGAACCTATTTACTCAGTGTGCCAACTATTCTTCTGCCCTTGTCGGTCTGTTCCAAGTTCAAATTCCCAAGGAGCAAACTAAAATTGGATTTTCAGGTTTAATGTGCACATTTGTATCATTTTTAAAAATTTTATGCAGCAACTTTAAAAGATTGAATAAAGAATAACAGCTCCTGGGGCGCCTGGGCAGCTCAGTCGGTTAAGCATCCAACTCTTGATTTCAGCGTTCCAGGCTCTCTGGTTCCGGGCTCAGTGGCGAGTCTGCTGGGGATTCTCTCTCCCTCGGCCTCTCCCCCACCGCTCTCTCTCCAAAAAAAAAAAAAAAAGGAATAATAATAGCTCCTGAACTTTTAATTGCTTGGTTAACAGTTATGGGAATAATAATTTTGAGAAAAACAGATATGGTTGGGGATGAGTTACCGTAGAGTTCACCTCCTCCCATACAATTATTATGCGTAGTTATGGGTCTTACTGATATCTATATAACAGGTTTATTTTCCTTTAAGTCGTAAAATACGAAAAGCTGTGAGGGTCACGTTGGACTTCTGTATGTGCATTGTTAAGAGACATTTGACGGAATCATTGACATCCCCAGGGGAAAGGGTCTGGTGGCTTGAGCGTGGCACTCACCCCACCCTTGGTCAGTGGAGCTCCTGGAACGCTGACTGACATCCTCACCATGACCAAGACCCAGGGCGCCGGGATGCTCCGGGAAGTGGTGGTCCCCAGGGACATGGCGATGCCATTGCTAGAAGGTGGAAGGTTTGCGGGACAGACAAGTGGACACCCTCTTTAAAAAGCACGTCCATCTCGTGAATAACAGCATGGCCCCAAACAGACACCACAGTGGAGAGGCTCAGAGTCCTCGCTCCCCTCAAGGAGAGACAGAGGCTGAGGGAAGGGCAGCACGTGAAGGGTCAGGTTCAAGCCGGGTTCCTGTGAGTGGAAAGCTCACATCCCACCCCCACATCCACCCTTTCACGGCCCCTTCTCCGTGCCTACGCTTGAGCACTCCTTGCCATGACTGTGTGAGATGGGTGTTAGCTCCCATTTCACAGATAAAAGAAAAATGAGTCTCAGAGATTCATGGCCAGAGGCCACAGAGCCCTCACGGCAGGATTCTCTGCCCTCCAAAGAAGGGAATTTTAGGAGCCTGAACCTCTGTGGAAAAAAATCTGCACCCAACATCCACAGAGATCAGGCGTGAAGCCATAGACGCTGACCCCACGTAAAGGGAGGAAAGCATTAGCACAGGGGGAGAATGTTCTGGGCTCGTGGTCAGGTCCCCAGAGAACTAGCAGCCTGCTCAGGGTCCTAGCCAGGCCCATGTCCAGTGAGTGCACCCCAACGGGAGGGCCAGTGGGCAGTGGAGTCGGCCTGGGACACCCACCCCTCACCCAGCAGCAAGAAGCCCACGGCCGACTCTCCGGACAGGTGGAGCGGGGACGCACCTGTGGTGCCTCAAGGGTGAAGTTGTTGCTATTATATTTGTATGCTGTATGTCTTACAGCAGGTGTGTCTTGGGCTCTGGATGATCCTGTGTCCAGTGGGAGATCGGGTCAGATTTGAGGCTGGCAAACGAGGCTATTACAGATCATAATTACCCTGAGAATCACAAATCAAAGCCTCCTTTGGGTTAAGTATTTCCACTTCTTGAATTTTTACCCAGAGCATAACTCACAGAATTGGGCATGGCCAGTCCAAGCAGTTCCCTCTGCTTTGGGGATCCGTCCAGGGGTGGGCGTGCAAGTCAAGTCAGACCACTGAGCGCCAGAATTCTCCTGGGAGACGTTGGAAGAGAACCGCTTCCTGCCTGCGCTGTGCTGCAGTCAGCTGCAAGCCAGGGCCCCTGGTCTTCAGGAAAGAGCAAAGCCAAGAGCTGGAGAAAAACTGAGGCCCGAGGCCATCGTTGGAGCTTCTAAATACAGCTGTGCCTGAGGCCAAACCAGCCCCTAGACCAATAAATCTCTCTCTCTCTTTTTGCTTAGGTCAGTTTGATGGATGATTCTGTCCCTTGTTTCCAAGAACCCTAATCCAGAAGACCAAAAAAAGTGGCTGAGTTGAGAGAGAAGAAATTGAAGGGATACACACATAGAGGATCGGCAGCCTCGTCCTTGTGTTTTCTGCCCAAATGCCATGCAGCGGCAGATCTGCGAGGCCCAGGATGGAGGGACCCTGTGCCTGACCCCCAGAGGCGGGCAGTCAGAGCTCGGGGCTTGAAGACACCAGGTCTGTCCTCCCACGTGGGCCTGGCCCTTCGGAGACTGGTTCTGGGAAGGCTGGTAAATGTTTGGCCCCTGGCCTTCCAGGACTTGGGGGAGCGACAGGAAACCATTTGTAGTGTTTGCCACCTTCCCTGGTGTAAATACTCCCACTCAGCCGGCTTCAAGCTCCCAACACAGTCACTGATCCCAAGTGAGGCATCCTCTGTACTGGGCAAGACTTCTTCTTGGGTTGCATGTGGCAGAAACTCAACTCAGGCTGTCGGAAGCAAACAGGAGGGAACCTCACTGGCTCCCATCCTAAGAAGTCCAGGGTGCGGCTGGGCCAGGTGGCAGGAAGATCCCTGGAGGAATGGAAGGAACGGAACTGAAGGTGGGAGGAATCCAAATCCTCCCCGTGGGTTCTGCTTTTCCTGGTGGAGTCATTCCAGGCAGGGGATTCCCAAAGGGGAGCAAAATGGCGCTTGGTGCTCTGGTTCCCCATCCTGATTGAGTGGCTGAGAGAGAGACAGTGCCTCTGTCCCCCGCGATTGCAGCTCGGGCCCCAGAGCTGACCCTCAGAGCCCAGCGTGGCTGCAGAAGCCCATCACGGTGAGTGAGGACGAGCCTGCCCTGGAGCCAGGTGCTGTGCCCAGAAGTGAGGGTGGTCGGGGCGGGGAGGCACACTCCGTGCCCTCGCCGCTGGGCCTGACGAGCTTG